TTGCACAAAAAAATGTCGGTATCTCATTGACAAATTTTGCTTGTTCTTTTTGTTTTAATTGTTATTTGTAAGGAGCATACACATGAATTTCCATTTTAAGCCCATTATGGGAGGCTTTTATCTTTTAACAAGGGACTTTAATCCTTTTATATGTTCTCATAACCAGTATATTTGATCTTACCTTATGCTGTTTGATATTTTTGTTTTTCTTCTTTCTGGATTTCCTACTGTTGTTTTACTGTCAGTACTGTTTGTTTTTCTTCGCCAGTGACTTAGTATGTGTACACTACTTTTTAATTTTAATTAAAAAAATTTTTTTGAGACAGGATCTCACTCTGTTGCCCAGGCTGGAGTGCAGTGGTCAACCATGGTTCACTGCAGCCTCAATCTCCCACGTTCAAGCCATCCTCCCACTCAGCCTCCTGAGTAGCTGGGATTACATGCTTTTTAATTTTTATGGTGATTAAAGCTGTTCAAAAAATTAATTTATGTTTCTAGAATAATCAAAGTCAGCACTTAGATCTCTATTTTTCCCTTCTATATAAGATAGAGAATATTGTGTACTTCATTTCTCTCTCCTGCCTGTATAGTTGCTTGGATAATGGTGGGTTTGGATCTTGATTATTTATATTATTTATATCTATATCTTTATAACTGCATTCAATGGTGTGACAGACAACTCTTTCATTTTTTAGCTTCTAATTTTTATTTGAGGAGTGGGATGCTCAAGTGGATCTTTTATTTAAGAAGCTCTTTCAGGGAAGATATATGGAATCCTATTTTCTGAGCCCTTGTATATTTAGTAATGTATTTGTGGGCTTCAGATGTTTTTTAAAAATTAAGTGTAAAATTCTTTACTTTCAGTTTCTTAAAACTTTGAAACTTTGCTTCATTATATTCTGCCATTTAATGTTGCAAATAAATCCAAAGTCAACCTGTGTCGCATTTTTTTTCCCATCGGACTATTTGGTTTTAGATGTTTTACTTTATGTTATTGAGATTTAGCTAAGATTTTTCAAGATACAGTTCTTTTATTCATTGATTATTGCTTTACATATGGTAGTCCCAAAGGTGAACTTTTTTTTTTAAATTCAAGAAAATTTTCTTTAGCTTTGTATTTGCTTATTGTTTCTATTTATTTTATCCTTAGAAACAACTGTATTTTTTAGCTTTGAGCTCTTTTGTCTGTCCCATAATTCAGGTGTCCCCATATAAATTCATGACTATAGAAATTAGGCCGCACAGCAGGTGGTGAGTGGCAGGCAAGAGAGCATTACTGTCTGAGCTCCATATCCTGTCAGATCAGTGGTGGCATTAGATTCTCAAAGGAGCACAAACCCTATTGTGAACACCCATGTGAGGGATATAGGTTGCATGCTCCATCTATAATGCCTGATAATCTGAGGTGGAACAGTTTCATCTTGAAACCATCCTCGCTGCCCCAACACTCGAAAAATGGTCTTCCATCAAACTGGTCCCTGAGTGCAGGGTTTCACTGAGTGGAAGTAGCTCTCAGCAGATGGGGAAGCCAGAAGGGAGATGGTTTTCTCCTGGAATCAGGCTGCCCTCCTCCGACTGTCCTGGCCATAGTTCGCGTCATTCAGCTGGTTGATGGCCTACTTGTGTGCTGGTTTGCTCCCGTGTGTCCCTCCAACCACTTGTGTCTCTGCCTGCTAGGGTCTTGGAGTTTTAATAGGCACAGGATGGGGAGTGGCAGGCCAGGGTGGTCATGAAAATGCAACATTTGGGCAGGGAAACGAAAATGCCTATCTTCAACTAGGTCCATGGGCGTAGGGCTGGGGGTGGTACCCTAGCCAGGGGCCACACCCTTTTCTACCCCGCACTGCCCTGTCCCCGCCTTTCCTCATATCAGCTGTTCATGTTCTTACATAACTCTCTGAGCTCAGTTTCCAGAGTCTTTAATGGGGTTTTCTTCTGTTGCCTGGTTTCTGCTATTCTGAACCAGTGAGCACATTGGAAAACAACAGCCTTAGATATTCACTGCTTAGCTGAAGTCTTTAGTATCTGTCCCATTGACATTATATTATATGGATTTCTTTCTCTTTCTCTCTCTGGCTGCATTTCACCGCTACCAACCTTCTCTAATTCTTGCCAACAGTAGTGAAAGGGGCAGCACTCATGGCTGGGCATGGTGGCTCATACCTGTATTCCTAGCACTTTGGGAGGTTGAGGCGGGTGGATTGCCTGAGCTCAGGTTCTCAAGGCCAGCCTGTCCAACATGATGAAATCCCATCTCTACTAAAATACAAAAAATTAGCCAGGCGTGGCGGCATGCATCTGTAATCCCAGCTACTCAGGAGGCTGAGACAGGAGAGTTGCTTGCACCTGGGAGGCGGGGAGTTGCAGTGAGCCAAGATTGTACCATTGCCATCCAGGCTGGGGACAGTGCGAAACTCTTGTCTAAAGAAAAAACAACAACAACAGCAAAAAAAAAAACAAAAAAACCCAGCACTCATACAATAAACAGCTGCATGGTTTTCTCTAGTACATGGCTTTCTTGTTAGTATGTTTCTGAATCAGAAAAAATCCATTGTAAGTTAGTATGTTTTTGAATCAGAAGAAAGGCCACTTACATATAGCTTGCACCCTCTCCAGGTAACTGGTTGGTATTTTTCTTTTCTGTTCCATTGGCTTGAAGTACCTTAATTTATTCGTTCATTCTTTCAATCAGTACTTATTAAGTTCTTATTATGCCCCAGGCACTTTTCTAGGTACTGGTTATATATAAAATATCTAACAAAATAGTGTTTCTTCCTTCTTTGGTGGCAGAAATAGTTTCTGGATTCTGTCAGTAACGCATTTTGGTGATAGTGTGATGTTTTATTTCCCTTTTTTCTAAAAAAAAATATTTTTGGGCAAGTTGAGAAAGGCTGTATTAAAGCTACAGTCAAGATACCAGTTTAACTTCTTTCTCCATATGCAATGTTTAAGGTTGCTGTGGATCCAGGAATAATTTTATGAATACAGTGTTCATTAACCTAATCTATTTTTCTAGTTTTATTTTATTTTAAACTGACAAATAATTATATATATTGGTGGGGGGTGATGTTTTGATAAATGACTATGATGTGGAATGATCAAATAAGGCTACCATCCGTCACCTTAATAGTTATCATTTCTTTGTGCTAAGAACATTTGAAGTCCTTTTTTATCTATTTTGAAATATACATTATTATTAACTATAGTCACCAGACTATGCAGTAGATCATCAGAAACAATTCCTTCTGTTTAACTGAAACCTTATCATTATTCTAACATTTTAAGATTACTACTACTTCCCCCAAACCTCTCATCATAACTAATTTACTGTTTTCCTCACCTTTTTCTTAATCTTTTTTAACTTTCCAATTTTTTTTCTTTTTTTTTTTTAAAGGGCTGAAAAGCACCCACGGGTCTCGAACCACGCAGAGTGGTTGTTTTTAACCATAGAAAGCATTGTTGAAGTAACCGCTGAGCTAAAGCCAGCCCCAGTCTTTTTTAACTTTCTAAGTGAAATGAGTAAAATTATCGTATCACTAAAATTAGGTTTATGTGGTGATCAGCAAGATGCTTTGGCCTGATATTTCTTTAATTTACTTTAGCAGAGTTTTCCTTCTGAAAGAGATCTTAGCTATTTGAAAAATAAGCAATAAAACTGCATTAGGTAATAATAGATAACGAATTTGGTTAGTTTCAACATTATTTCCTGGCATTTAAAATAAAAATTAAATTTGAGGGACTTGATTTTTTCCCACCACTTTGAACAAAAATAAAAACAAATTTCTTTTATTTAGAGAAAACTTATTCTAGAACCTTTTATATCATGCTTCCAGTAAATATTATTAACTTTTAAAACAATACAAAGTAATAGAATTTCACACACACACACACACACACACACACACACACACACACACAGAGTACACACAGACCTATAAGTATGGAATGTAAAACGATTGTTAATTTCAGTATATAAAAGCATAAATTGGAGAGAAAACATGGTTTACAATTTGGATAAGGTAACATGTTGTTTACCAAATGTGTAATAGAGTTATTGTCAGGGAAAGCAAACTTTAAGCAAAACAGGACCTGGCAATTATAAGTCCTATCTCATAATTTTCCAGATTGTCCAGTATTAAAAAACAAAAAGCTTCCTATGTGCACTAAATGTGGGGGCAAAATCGCATTTATAAGATTGTAGGCATCTTGAGGGAAAGAACTATATGTCAGTTACCTTGTGCAGCTGAATGTTATAGTCAAGAGAAGTTTGCTTCCTTTCAGGAAGAAGATAGAATCCTTAAAGGAGAAACATAGTGTCTTCCTTAGCCTGTAATAAGATTGGTAGTAATTGTTGTTTTAAAGATAGTGGTCAGGGTTTTGGAAGTATTTTCACATCAGCTATACTTGTCTCAACTGGTTTGTTCACACCTGGGGCAATTGTGTTAAATTTGTTGTTGTATAGGGGGAGGGGAACAGCTTCATTAGGTGACGTGCAGAGGTTGTTGTTCACAGCTCTTTCACCCAGGGATTAGAAGTCTTCTTTCCCCTTCCCTTCCACTGTAGCGATGAATCTGCGGAGGAATCCCATAGCCTTAATCTATTAATACATGCTATCTTTACCTGAAAATCAAGAAGCTCAGAGAATTTGCTGTTTGTGTTGATACTTTACTTAATTGTGCTAGTCCAGCTGCATTTCACATACACACACTGTGGTAACAAATGTGACTAATTGGTACATTATAGCCAAGGCAGATTGGCATTGCTGAAAGACTTAAACTTTATGATGTCCATTATATGGCAGAGAGTATTAAGTTTTATCTGTTTTCTACAGGTTTGGTATTTGCAAATGTGTTTTGATTATGTTGTAGCCAAATAAAATGATACTTGACATGTTTTTCAGAACTCTTTTATAACAGTCAAGTTTATACCACATGTAGGTTGAATTTTAAACTCATAAACTCTATGTGTGTGTTTATAATAATTGATGTATTTGTTTCTAGGGGCCACCTACAGATGCTCCTGCAGTGGACACAGCAGAACAAGTCTATATCTCTTCCCTGGCACTGTTAAAAGTAAGTAATCAGTGTAGTTACTTGCTTTAGAAAACTCTGTTGCTTTCATTGTATCTTTTATTTTGGAATAGTTGTCTACCTTAATCCTCTTGGTTTAGGTACATTTATAAAAGAAGTTTTTAATTTTCACTGGAACAAAATTTAGTTTTTGTTTTATAAAGAGGTACTAGAGACCTTAAAGAAATTTGCTTTGTGTCCACATCTCTTCCTCTCTACAGATGTTAAAACATGGTCGTGCTGGAGTTCCAATGGAAGTTATGGGTTTGATGCTTGGAGAATTTGTTGATGATTATACCGTCAGAGTGATTGATGTGTTTGCTATGCCACAGTCAGGAACAGTGAGTACTTTTATGGTTGCCTGCTGCAAGTAAATGTTCCAAAAAAATAACACATACATTCTTTTCATTTTTCTTTTCCTATGCAAACTAACTCTCATCATATTACATTTTCTCTTTCCAATAGGAAAAGTTAATTATAAGTTTGATAGAAATTTTTTGATTGTGTTGACTTAAATCATTAATCTTTAGAATGCAGCATAACTTCTGGTCTGCAAACTGAATGATGCTAATGCTAAATTTATTTTCTCATTCCTTCAGTTTAAACTGGCATAAAATACTGGATTTACAAGTTAGTTACCCTATAATAGCAGTGTTAGTTTGATTAATTTGAATATTTGATTAAAAGATATGAGATTCTGTTATTTAGATTTTCAATTCATATACACTAGTTCTTATGTCTTGTTCCATTGTTTTGAAATATGTCATTTAAAAAATGTTCTATATATGGTGATGAACAACTTTTAAACTTTTCTTATTTAAAATTTTAAGTTAAAAAAACAATAGCAAACCTGAGTTTTTTTTCCCGGGCATGGTATTTTGTTTATATGCACCACACTCCATACCCCAAATTACCTGTGTAGAATACATTATTCTTTCTAGAGATTTTTGTTCTGTTTTGCCTTTTTGTTTAATGCATTACACTTGTGTTGATAAATGTGCATTGTGACTGAAATAAAATGGCCAAAAAACAATAACCATTCTATCTGTCTTCCAAAAAAATAACACATACATCCTTCTCACCTGTTTGCTTAGAAAAATATGCGTGTATTTTTCTAAGGTATATTTCTTCTTTGATAGGCAATATTACTCTTACTGAGCCTTGTAAAAGAACGATTAAAGAAGTGATTATAAAGCTGTTTGTTCTATTTGAGGCTCTATAAGTTTACTTTGATAAGGTAGATGCTAGAGAACAAATTACAGTTTTAAATAGTGTAATATATATAAGTATGTATGTTAAAAATAAGCATTTAAAATGTAATATTTGCTACAGAATGCAATATATTTATAAATAATGTAAAGTTTTCTCTAAATAGCGGAATTTGTTGAGGTAAACTAATTTGGATCTACTGATTTTATCTATGTCAATATCCATTATATTTATTTTATTCATTTGGAAATAGAGAAAAACTGTACATGTTAACCAAAGGTTTAGATTTAAATCTTAGACTATTACTGTCTTTTTTTTTTTTTTTTTTTTTTTTTTTTTTTTTTTTTTTTTTCTGTTAGGCTATATGAAACACATAAAACTAACATATATGTTACGGGTTCTTATGTAGATATTCATTATTATACATAGTTCTTAGGCTTTACTATCCTTGCTTCCATGTAAATACTTGTTTGACAATATAAAATAGAAGATTTTGATCCCCATATTCACTCTAATTCCATTTTCTAGTGTCATAGAATTAGAAAGTTTTTCTTCTGGCCCCAGAGTCAGTAAACTTTCTATAAAGGCATAAGTCTTCTGTTGCATATTCTTCTTCTTTTTTAATTCCATCATTTCTTTATATATATATATATATATATATATATATATATATATATAAAAGAAAAAAACCAAAAACATTCTTAGCCTATAAGCAGCAGATTGTATACCCCTGTTCTTGAGAAGGTACACTCTATTGGAATTCAGTATGCATACTGTTTTGGTGGGAAGGAAGTGCTTATGTTAACTAGTGTCTTTAAGTACATTAGATTTAGATTCCTGAGGTTAGAAGAAAGCCTTGGGAGCTATGATGACAGTAATCTATCACCAGGGAGATGATCTGAAACTTTTAATTCTTCCATGTTTAAATATCTTATTTTGGTTGAACTAGCAAAACAATGCAGTATGTAAGAGACTTGAGGCTCTTTAATTATGATAGCTGAAGATTTGTAGAACTTTGGATGAGACTCATTTTGGTCATTAGTTATGATAGGATGGCATTAGGAAGTATGCTTGCCTATATAGGTCTAACCAATAGTTATGGTTGGTTCAATTATTTCGTACTTCTGGTAAATATGTACGTAGCAATGGCCATAAACTCCTAGAGAACCCTGAAAGTTAGCTTAAGTCATTAGCCAACAGCAGTTTGGTAGTTGGCAGTTTTAGAAGGTTGATTGGTATGAGGTTTATAATTGAATGACTTGAGTAGGTATCAAATGTAGGTATCAAAACCTACAAAATGATTTTGATAACCCAAAATACTATACGTAGGGAAGCTTTTTTCCTCCCCAAAGGTATAAAAGCTAATAATTTTTCTATTCTTTCTAAACCAGGGTGTCAGTGTGGAGGCAGTTGATCCAGTGTTCCAAGCCAAAATGTTGGATATGTTGAAGCAGACAGGAAGGTAAGCATTGTAAATGGTCAGTTAAAGAAATAATGGGAAATATTTGTAGAAATGTACCTCAGAGTTATAGATGGCTATCAATATCATTTCTAGAAAAAGAGATCATGTAGTTGACATAAAACTATCTGATATATAGTGCCATGCACCGCCTGTCTAGTATCTCTTCCCTTTAGAACTAAAGACATTTGCCCATCAGAGAAATGCCTCATATTAAAATTCTTGACTGTCACATAGTAAGCTTGGGCTGTAGCTTCCCTCTGTTTAGCATATGGAGTTACTGTCTAGTCACTTATAATTGAAAGAGCTTGTATGTTCCATGTATTTGAGAGTTGCAACTGAATGAGATTATGAATATTTAATTATGTTTGTAGGCATAGTTTTAAAGACAGAGAAAGTATAATCCAAATATTCTAAAGTTTTTTTCCTCAGACCAAATCTCTCAATAGTTGTCATTCTCTTGCTCAAATTCTTGTACTGTGGAAAAAACTTCTAAATTAATGTTAGCAAAAGGCTCAGCAGCTGAGCAGAATAGTGCAAATTGGTTTTTGACTGAGTTCCTAGTTCTACTGCTGGTTTAATTGATATTTAATCGTTTCACAACAGTGGATCCTGGTGTCCATTGTTAAAAATGTACTCTGTGCCTGGAAAATCCAACTCCCAGAGCTAAGGAGTTAAAGAGTAGATATTTATTTGCTGAAAGGGTAAAAACTGGCTCTGAGAAACTGTGGTAACAAGGTGAAAAACTGAAAGCCTTATCTACCACTGCTAATGTGCATCTCTTAATGATAGCACTCCTTTGTCACACATATTCATTTCCATGTTTTCTGGATAATATGGTGTACAATTTCAGGGTTTCTAATGGTGCTTTTTCACACCTGTGTGTTTTTCATCTCTTCTTAATTTATACCCTGTTAGTGTGTTGTTTCTTTTCATATCATAAATGTATTACTTGTTCCATTCTGAGCGTCTGAATGCCCTCTTTGTTTCAGGCCGGAGATGGTTGTTGGTTGGTATCACAGTCACCCTGGCTTTGGTTGTTGGCTTTCTGGTGTGGATATCAACACTCAGCAGAGCTTTGAAGCTTTGTCGGAGAGAGCTGTGGCAGTGGTTGTGGATCCCATTCAGAGTGTAAAAGGAAAGGTAGAGTGGATTCTATCTTTATTGCCATCTCCTGCCACATTCTGTTTGCAGATACAAAAAATAAAAATCCATTTTGTTCAAAACAGGATTCTTAGATACACAGAAAGCTACTGTCTACTTGAAAAACAAACAAAAAACTATACAAGTTGATAACTGTATTTTGGTATTATTAGCAATTTATTTGGAAATTTATTTCTTCTTTAATCACTTATTGTCTAATTGCCATGAATATTTATCTTTAAATGTTTTGAATTTTATAAAATTAGGAAAGTTAAACCATACGCAAAGCTGCTATAAACATTTTATTAATATTTCAATAAACATTGCTTTATCTTCATTTTCAAATGATAAATTTGAAATTAGCACAGCATTTAAAAAATCTATTTAAAGGCCATTGTCTTGCAGACATTGTGCAGGACATATTCTGGAGGTGTGTTTTCCAAATATTTTAGACAATGAAAACTTGCCCAAAGACTTGCTATCAACCATTCACGTTTTTGGAGTGAGGATGCAAATGAATGATTAAATATGCTAAATGATTCTGAAAAAAGATTAACTTGCAAAGCATATTGGGTTATAGTTGTTCTTTGTTGAGACCCCTTTTGTTCTTGTTTAGTTCTCTTTCCCTTTTTTGTTCATTCTTTCTTTCTTTTTTTTTTTTTTTATTTCTTTCTTTCTAGCCCCATATGCCATTTTCCTATTTCCTGCCTCATGACAGCAGGGAGCAGCTCTATTATCACCTTCACAGAGCTGTCTGCAAATGTGAGAGGCAATTCGATTTTGCTCAACCACAGGGAGAGTGGATTAGAAAAACTACAGAACATACAGAAATTGGCTAGGTGGTTACTGCTTTAAAATACTGCTGAGGTGTCTTGTTTGAGCATGTACTTCCATTGTAGTGTAGAATAATTGTTAAAATAAAATCACAATATATTTATGCAATCCTTTTTTTGCAGGTTTTACAAATAATTTTTAAAGCACTTAGAAATAAATACTAGCTTGTTATCTATCAGACCTGGAGTTTGATAGTAGTGCAGATTACATTTATGTCTGCTCACCAGCTCAAACAAACTAAGCATGGCTGTTAAAATATGGAGTTTTTATCTGTCATAAAGTTGAATGTTTTCTGATATCATATCATTATGATGTATAAAAATTGAGGTCATCTCTAAATCATGATCCTATTAGGTGTGATTTAGCTTTTCAGAGGCAGAAGCTATCCACAAAAACAATAATAGAAACTGATATACTAGACCACTCAGAATGGATAGCCTCTGATTCTTGCTATATGCCTGTATTTCAATTTGGTTTTTTTTTTTTTTTTTTTAACTGTTTTGTTACTCAACACATAGATAAAAGAGGTTGAAAATTCTTGATTGTTATTAGCTTTATGAATTATAGCATAATATCTCTTAAGTTTAATTCTCTGTTTGAAGGTACCTTTTTAGTAACTTGTAAATAATTCATTTAGGTAATAATTATTGTTTTACAAATATAACAATTACCTAATAAAGTCTCCTACCACAATATTTACAAGTAATAATTGAAGCTTAATTTAAAATATAATTAGAATTCTATTTTGTAGTATTAGTTCAACTTACGTTTTATGATCTCTTGACTCCTGATGGTGGCTACTTTCAGAAAGGAAAGTATAAACTTAAACACAGTGAAAGAAAGTATTCTCAAAATAGAATGTAAATAAATGAGTATTTATTTTATTCTTGGTTATACTTTTGTAGTATTTAAAATGGCATTTAGTTTCCAAACCTAGTTTAAGTCTTCTATAATATTGGAATTTTCATTATTTCTAATTAATTGTAATTTATATGAAAATGACGAATTTCAGTTAAAAATATGCATGTATCGCATGGCTGCTAACAATGTTAAATTTAGTTTTAAAAAATAATATATGTAAAATTTGTGAAATCATATATCACTGTCTACTTTTTTATGTTAGGAAGAAGTCTTTTTGAAAAAATTTAGTGTAAATACTTATCATTGCTGATGTGCATCACTTATTGTACCTAATGTCTAGATTCATACTATTATATCTCCTGAAAGAAGGATCCAGTTCTTTGTCAATGATGCAACTTCATCTTTAAGGAGTCAGATTTTGATTGTAATTTATGGCTCTTTCAGTGTCAAGTCCTCTCGTCACTATGAATCAGATTAAATGCTAGTAAATCCTTAGAGTGTTTAGTTAAATCATACTTAGGAATATTAACTAAAATAACGAAGAATAGCATAAGAGTCTCCCTCTCCCTTTCCTGCACATGATTTATCAAATCTTTCAAAATATTTAGTAAGACAGTCATTAGATCAAGAGTTAAAATGACACTTTATATATAAATGATTTTAGTTGGATCTCTGTTCACTGTCTTTACAACCTCTTGTACATTTTGTATATTTTCATTTCTATAAATTCTAATATTTCTGTCTTTGAGAGATTAGATAAACCTGGATTCTTTCTTGGTAATCTCAATTCATTCACAAGTAGTTTGATTTTCTTTTATGGTGACATGATTACATTGTTATTCAATAATTGCTGTGAGTCAGGTATTGTGAATAACCATTTCAGCTTATCTCATTTATTCTTTGTTATAATGCTAAAGATAGGCACTATTACCGTTACATAATATTAGTGGTTAAAAAAAAAATTAGGGCCAAGGAGATTGCTTTGCCAAAGTCAGACTGTCAGTTAGCAGCAAAACAGAGATACTAATCCAGGTCTGTAAAATTTCAGAGCTCAGGCTTTTTCATGGCTCTTTAATTCTTTAATATTAGACTGTTATGAATGATATAATCAGAGTGAGGAAAGGAAAATGAATATCAAAGGTCATTGCAAGGCGGTTCCTTAAGTTACTGTGGATAGGTGTCACTCTCTTCAGCATAAGTCAGGGGAAAGAGCTATACATTTTCTCTCCGTTCTCTATAGTTTTCTGTAGATATTATATATTACATACTAATTGATTTTAAAAAATCTGTTGTTCCATGAATTTTAAAAATAATTTAGACAGACTCATTTCTGTTGGCTTTTGGGACATCACTGGGAGCAAACACTGAAACCAACATAAATAATGAAGTGCACTATGTGAAAAAGAATCTGTAACCCTGTGCATATTGTACAACACTGAAAATGTTTTAAAATGATACAGGTGAAAATCAATGGTAATTGCATTCATAATTTAAATGGAGAGTAAGCTCATAGAAGTTACCAGTGAGTTCTGCTGTAATCAGTGAAATAGTTTATAAGATCTGCTGCAATATTTAGTTCATTTGTAAAATATGCATATTCACATATTTTAAACTTTAGTTCTCAAGTGGCACAGTGGGAACAGCTTGCTGAATGTTTTATTATCTTGTATACTCAGCCCACAACTAGATCCAGCAGCAAATTTAAGTTAATTCAACCTGTAATGTGACTATACTTCTTGCTTAGGGCAAAAAGAATGGTCACTTTGGGCAAAATCATAAAACTAGCATATAACTTAATTATGTTGTTTTAATATATTTATTAAAAAGCATTACTGCTTTAGAGAACTCATTTTCCTTGACAAGGTTCCGGTTAGTAAAATGCTTAGTTGTTACCAGCTAACTAACTCCTAACAGTCATTGTATCCGTTCTCTGTTTTGAAAACATAAAAAAAAAAAAGTAATGACTAAATATGTCCAAATGTGCCTTCACGCTGGTTAGGTTTTCTTGAAACATTTTTATTTAATCTGATCAAAACACTCAATAAACTTTAAAAAATGTGATATTTATCTAACTGCAGGTCAGCTTAACTGCAGGTATTTCTTAAGTATACCTGATATGTATGCTAATGATTCTAAGATGCAAAATAAATTTTTAAAAATGGTCTTGGTCTTCTTTGAGAAGATAAATCATATGCATTTAGTGTTAACAGTGAGCAAGATCTCATCCTGCCATCTGTATACTGATAACCTACATTGTGTACTGATACAATACAAAATATACTGAAATTGCCTGTTTCTGTAAGTATTAAATTGGTTGCTACAGACAGAAATAATTCAACAAATACTTAGAATTTTGTATGTGCCAGGATACAATAAAGTACTATTTGTATAGCAAACACAGGAAATGCAAATTAAAATTAGAAGAAGGGAGAAATCAGTGTAGGTTGCGCAAAGTGGATAAAGCTAGGGCTGAGCTTTGAGGGGTGGGTGGGGACATCACCCAGAAAAGAGGAGCTTGTACCACTTGGAAAGAATGTAGAAACAATGTTCCAAGTGGTACTTACTTCTTTGTTCATTGTTTTTTCACAGATACTAGAAGGTAAAATGACTGGTTTCATTGGTTTTAATTTTTTTAAACAACTAGCATTTTACAAAAGATGGAACTTTGGGGAATAAATACAAATATAGGAAAAAAGTTAGGGAATGTGGCCGGGTACCATGGCTCACGCCTGTAATCCCAACACTATGTGTGGGCCACAGTGAGTGGATTACTAGATCCCAGGAGTTTGAGAACAGCCTGGGCAACATGATGAAACTCCATCTCAAATCTTAAAAAATAATTAAAATTTTAAAAAAAGAAAGTTAGGGAATGAATGTTGTAAGAGCGTACCCTTTATTTTCAGATATCTAGAAGCTTGTATCTTTTTTTTGAGTGGGTGGGGTGGGTAGCAAATACTTTATTTTTCCAAGAAATTTTATATTAGAAAGTTTTAAGATGGTGAAGGTTTTAAAGTACTCAAATAGTAGTCTTGTTTTAAGCTTATTTTATATATCTAGGTATATATATATATATATATATACCATATATATTTTATATTTATATATATAAAGGGAATATGTATATTAGTAGGGCTGTGCTACTAATATGTATGCCTTTTGCCCTACTAATATATATATGCCCTACTAATATAATATATATATATATATAATAGTAGGGCATAGCCAGGGGATAGAGTAATAACACAGACTTAGGGATCAGGCCTGCATTAAAATCTATTTTTATCTCCTCTTTACAGTGCGACCTT